TTAGTTCAACTGTAAAACGTGAGTATACATTCATAAGATGTCACAATAACTTATAATGACCTATGACTTATAAATGTTGATGTGGAAAGGTACGAAAGAGAGACAGAGAGAATGAATTAGTCCAAACAAAAAGGCCTATTGCTATAACTGATGAACTGTATCAAGATCATGTGAACCAAATTTGGTGTGTTAGAAACTAGGCCTAATTGTTGGACAAAATAGTGAGGTGATGGGCTATTCTACCCATCACTTCCTTTTGAGGTCCTTTAAAGGCTTTGAGGAGAAAAATTGCCTTACCAGAGTGAGCTTCACCATCATGGCTGACACCCCTACCATCTCCTGGGACCTCAGGTCTTCGTCATCCTGATCCTGAGAGATGTCCTAACCAGACTGGGCCAGAAAGAGGGACACAGATTAAATCACCACCTCTACCAGCTCCATCTAAATCCCAAACACCACCTGGGATAAAATGGGAATCGGACTTTAAGAAAAACAGCAACAATAATAGGTCCAGCCCATCTCTCGCCTGCTAAAGGGAAAGGGAACAAGGCTTGTTAAAATGAAAATCTTAATATTTTCCCTTCCTTTCTTTATCTTTAATAAAAGGATAAAATGCTTTTAATGCCGTGTTTGCCATGGTACTAAGCAGACTGAGGTCTCTGTATACCAAATCCCGAATCTTGTTTAACATTGTTTAATGTTGGACAGTGAGTGGGTAATATTAAACACCTTTGGCCCATATATTTCATCTAAATTAATACAACAGTGACCTTATACAATAATAGTAATATGTAGTTCTTATATAGTGCATCAGTAGATCTCAAAGCATTTCACAATCTTTAATGTATTTATCCTCACAACACTCCTCTGAGGTAGGGAATTATTATTCTCCTTTTTATAGACAGGGAACTGAGGCACAAAGATGCTAAGTGACTTGCTTAAGGTCTCAAAGGAAGTTTGTGGTGGAGCTAGGAATTGAACCTGGGTCTCCCAAGTAATTTAGTTTACCCCATGCCTCAGTTTCCCATCATTAAAATGGAGATTATACTTCTCCACCTCACAGGATTTTGTAAGGATAAAATCCACAAAGTGCTCAGATATAATTATGGTGATGAGAGCCTGTCAGGGTTCCTTCCTCACTCTGATGTGGGTACAGATGTGGGGACCCACATGAAAGCCCCCTAAGCTTATTTCTACCAGCTTAGGTTAAAACCTGGTACACTGCCACCACCAAGTGATTTAACAAGAAACAGGGAAAGGACCACTTGGAGTTCCTCTTCCCCCAAAATATCCCCCCAAGCCCTTACACCCCCTTTCCTGGGGAGGCTTGAGAATAATATCCTAACCAATTGGTACAAAGTGATCAAAGACCCAAACCCCTGGGTCTTGGGACAATGGAAAAATCAGTCCGGTTCTTAAAAGAAGGATTTTATTAAAAAGAAAATGTAAAAATCATCTCTGTAAAATCAGGATGGAAAATAACTTTACAGGGTAGTCAGATTCAAAGAGTCCAGAGGAACCCCCTCTAGCCTTAGTTTCAAAGTTACAACAAAACAGGGATAAACTTCCCTCTAGCAAAGGTAAAATTCACAAATTGAGAAAACAAAGATAAACTAATACGCCTTGCCTGGCTGTTACTTACAAGTTTGAAATATGAGAGACTTGTTCAGAAAGATTTGGAAAACATGGACTGATGTCCAGTCCCTCTTAGTCCCAAGAGCGAACAACCCACAAAACAAAGAGCACAAACAAAAGCCTTCCCCCCCACCAAGATTTGAAAGTATCTTGTCCCCTTATTGGTCCTTTGGGTCAGGTGTCAGCCAGGTTACCTGAGCTTCTTAACCCCTTACAGGGGTGCCTCTGGCCAGGAGGGATTTTATAGTATTATACCCTTGTTGTTACCCTGCCCTTTATAGTTATGACAGAGCCATACAAATAGGTAGGGTAGACAGATAGGAAATGGTTTGATTTAGTTCCAGTTTCAGGTATCTGTTCAGGCTGGGTAGTATGTATTAAGTGCCATAGAATAGATAAGATAGCCTGGAAGATGAAAAGCATTATACAAATGTTAAGTATTATTATTATTTGCCTGAACCTATTTATACCTATCCTTAATAAATAATATCAAATCTGCTAAAAGAATAAACAAAATAAACCTCCCTCAACCCAACAGAACTGAAACTTTAAGTAACAAAAGTGCTGTACAGCATGCTTGATGCACAATAACCCTCTCTAAAATCAATGCTGGGCTGTGGGATTGAAGTATTGTGAACCCTAAATTGTTTCAGTTTGAGGATGTGCTTTGCTTTAATTGGGGGAGAGTACATGAAAGACTGGCTTGTGTGTATGTGTACTATTGACCTTTACTGAAACGAATATGTCAGACTTACTCATATGCATAAGAGTTCCTTCTACTGGCTGCACTGGTGGAACTGCTGCTGAGTTAACTGAGTAGAGGTTTGTGTTTTTGGAGCTAAATGGCACAAGTTCTATTGTGGAAGCTGCATCCAAGTGGTTGGCCTGTGCTCAGGGTGTTTGCATATGACTAATTTGTTCCACTTAGTAAGATGTGAAACAGCATATGTCATATTTTGAACCTTTGATCTAAATGAAGAAAACAACGACTAATTCATTGTTTCAGACAACAAACTTCTGACACTGAAAAGGAAAAAAAGTAACAAAGCCAAAAAAGAGAATGAAGAATTATATTTAAGTTGCAACACTTGATCTGGTCGACTGTTGCTTGTAGACTGGGAGCCACTGCCTAATCGCCTGGTATAGGACAACTGAGCTGTTAATCTTATGTGATCCATTTGTGTCTTGGAGATTACATCAGATTTTACCATATCACAGTACATTATAGAATAATAAAAGCACAAATACGTCACATTACATGGCATCAACTGTATGAAAAATGCAAGACAGCATTTATTCTTAGGGAACAGTGATTAAGAATATCTTATTCATAGACTAAAATCATATATTTTATAATAGTATATGATCCTTTGAGTGATGATAGTCTGATATTTTAGCAATGTCCTAAATTGTCATGATACAGGACATTTGGCACTAGGAAAGGGGCATTCCTCAAAATAACAAACAGCTGATCTCCCTAGCTTCTACCCTGATCTGGAGAGACTACTTTTAGAAAAGAGAGGGGTTTTCTAATCATCATTCCTTTAGCTTCTCTGCTGCGACTGCCAAAAAAGTCATCAATTAATATCTACTTGATGGTGGTTTCTGTGATGCAGACACCATTGTAAATCCTGAGTAACTCCACTAACTTTAGGGAGCTACTCTGGATTTACACAGAATCTTATCTTCTATATATCCCAATTCCTTGAGCCATATAGTGCATTCTGGTATCCTTGATTTAATAGATGGTGATTGTGAGAAATCATGAGGAATATTTCATTGATGATGTAGGTAAGGATTTTGTAACTAGAAAAGAAGATTTTCAAGGAATTACTTTAGTTATTTTGCCAAGTTAAAAATTGAGAGGTCTTAGGTAAAATTGAGTGTAACATGGCTACCCTTCTGATACTTGGAGCCTGGCAGAGTTACTGCAGCATATCGTGAGATCAGAAAAATACAGTTTGTTCCAGTTATGGAATAACCATGAAACTAGAGAACTTATTGAACAGTGAGTGGTACAAAAAGCATGTAGGGGAAAGTCATCTACTGCTAGGATCCTGGAGAGATTCTAATAGTCAGGGATATATTTGGATGTAGTGGAGTTTTGTGAGCCTTGCGCTGAATGTCAATTAACAACATCACCATAGGTGACAGAGAGTTACATTAATACCCCTCTGGATGATGGAAGTGGTTGGTTGGTTGGTTGGTTTTGTTTTTAAAATAGTAAGTCGGGGAGCTTCTGTACATGTGTTGTACTTTTAGTGTGTGTGATAAATACAACAACCACTTACACCCTTGAGATAATTAACAATAAAATTGTTATACTTTATATGCAAATTAACTCCCCTTAGACCTCTGCATGAAAGTGGCATGGTAAAAATCTAACTACTAACCTGAGAAGTCTTCTTTATAGAATGAAGTGCTTGGGTTTTTGGGTCACTGAATCAAACTGAGAGATAAAATATTTTTTTTAAATAAACTTTACATAGAAAAGAGTGAAGGGGTCTATTTAATTTTGTTCTGACTTGGATGTGTTGGATTTGCTCTTCTTTAGAGCAGCGGTAGATAGTGGTAGGTGTTCGGTGACTGTATATAGAGGGTAAGTTGTGAAGATGCTGTAGGAATATAGGTTTGGAAGGGATAGATATTTGTTCTATTCGTATATGAAAGGTAAGAGGCAAGATGTTAGCTTAAAAACTCCAGCAGCTTCCCAGCACATCTCTACTCCTGTAGAGCTTATATATTCTGTCAGGGTCCCTTCTTTAGAACTTCTGATGAAGTTTTCTTAACTTTGCCAGGGACCCTGCAGAGAAGTATTAGAGCATATGGCTGAGGATATGGGCTTGAAGCCTGCCACAGACAATAAAGTTATTGGGGATTAAGTTATGTAAAGGATTTAAGTCTTCAAACTCACATGTACCCTCCTTGTTCTGTTCAGAATTTCTTAAACTACCAAAGGTGCACAGTTGTAAACACCATGGTGCTTTCATAAGTTTGTAAACAATATAGCATGTTAATATAAAAAAAGTTATGAAAGTTATGAAAACAGACATCAGTCCTTAGGAATTATAGGATAAGCCAATGTGCAGTTTCCAGACCAAAGTGTTTTTGAGATATAATGCAGCAAAATGTTTCAGGGGAATTTTGCAAAAATGAAAACCTACAGTTTCAGACTTGACAAGTACCTGATCCAATTAACCACAAACTTCTAGAAAATATCCTGTGGCAGAGATAATTTAGGCAGGTTGATTTAGTTTGGGCAAAGTTAGTGATTGTGGGGGGAGCAGGAAATTTGTGAATATTGTGTTTATAATGAAAAGCTATTTAAAACTCTGGCTTCATAATTTTTTTAATGCTGTTTACAGGTTGTTCTTAGTGACATTGACATCTCACTGTGAAAACTTTCACGCTGTTGGACTACACACAGTGGGTACAGTATTTCTTTAAGACACACATTATCTTAGTTCTAAATGCATGAATGTACACAACCATAAAACAATCTGTTTTAATTTTTCTATCTATAGTCACTACAAAACCTTGTAGTTCAATCCTACAGTTATCTCAATTTTTGCCTACAGTCAGATCTGTTTGTATTTTTAAATGTTTTTCAGACTCCAAGAGTTGCATGTCTAGCATCTCTTTTTTTATATATATTTTTGCAGTGGGCTGCCCTGGAAGTGATTCTTAGACCGAAGAAGGTATTGTTTTGGAGTTTTTTATTTTAAATTATTATTCTTACAATGATTTTTTTCTTGACTATCTTTGGGAAATAGAGGGGAAGTTATTACTCTTATATATAGGCTGTTCAAAACACACAAACACATGAGGGGAGGGTAATATGTATGGGGAAAATGCCTCCATCAGGAAGTTAACCCCTGCTAAAGCCATCTGACATCACCAAAGGCTCTTATTAAGCACCAGAGGTAAGTGGTAGTAATGACTTAATGTACAGAAGTTTTTAATTACATATAAGTAAGGGCTTTTTTCTTCCTTACTTGAGAAAAAATAAATTGAAAAACACTAAAAAAATGTCCTGGTCCATACAATCCAAATATTTACAGTATGAATACAAGAGTTTGGATTGGGTCTGTTTTATATGCTCTGTGCTAGCCAATGATGTCTGATGGGCTGGGCTTAAGACTGCTATTGGTGTTTACTATAGGGTGTGACTAGACTCTGGAAGTATGTGTTGTTTTCCTTGGTATGACAAGTGACATATTTTAGTCCTTTGGCTGTTGCTGTCAGAGTACACAAGGCTCTTAGTTCTGGGGATGTCAATGGGCCATGTGGATGGTGACTTTCCTTCTTTTGTCAGATAATTTTTTGGGAACCACAAAGATTTACATTTCAGTTGGGAAGGGAGACAGCCCTAGTTTCAGCCCTGTGTTGTGGCCAAATCTGATGTAGAATATTGCAGTACAGCCTTTGTTCTCCAAGGTTACCAGAGGCAGTGTGATTCCAGGAGACTGAGAACAAGCAAACTTTTTAAGGTTGAAGGAGAGCTATGAACCTGGCTACCATGACAATCAGTGTCACTCTCTCTTTAGATTCATTATATATATATTCACATACACATATACATACATTATTATTTATTTTATTTATTAGTGTTGCCTGGAATGATCTATTCACTCCTCCACAGCCATACTCTTGCACATGTATTCTCCATCTTCTGCATACATGCTACTCCCATTATTGACCCTGAGAATTAAGTGCGTGAATTGAAGAAAAAACATCGCTCTTTTATTTTAATATGGTTGTTAGGTTTTTGATAGCCACAGCTTTCCTTCGCCCCTGATTTATTATTTACCTGCTCTATGTCAGTTTGACTTCTCTACTGATTATAATTCTGGTTCATGATTTTTCAGTCACAAGTCTCTCTGATCCTCTTTGTAGTATTTTAATGCCTTGTGTTTGCTTAAGCCCTTAGTTACTCTGCAGACCAGTGTTGTGCATCCAGGATGAGCATCTCTAGCACTGCTTAGAATGCTTTCTGTTGGGCTACATGGGATTTTCTTTTTATTGTTGTATAGGCTTGAGAAAACAGAAGTGAATGAAGGAATTTCTTGTGATTTTAAAGAAAATATTTCTCTGATTTGAGTGCTTTCTTATTAGTAAAATTGATATTATTTAGCATTTACTGTGTATAATGCTTTATGTTTTCAAAGTGCTGTGCATACAACTAATTAATCATTACAACATACTTGGGAAGTAATTATGGTGAGCATTATTTTCATTTTACAGGTTTGTAAAATGTGACACAGAAAGGCTAAGGGCTTGACTTACAACAGTGCTGACCAGGGCCGGCTCTGGCTTTTTGGCCGCCCCAAGCAAAAAAACAAAAACAAAAACAAAAAAAAAACGGGGCGGCAAGAACGGCAAAGCAAAAAAAAACACAAAACCGGCGGCACGGCCGGAGCGCGGGTGCAGGGGGACCGGCTAGCGGGGGAGTGGGGGAGGGAGCGGGCGGGAGAGATCGAGAAGGCGGGCGGCCAGGGCTACAGCGGGCGCTGCCACGTGGCCCCTCGCACCGCGCCACCTGCCGCCTGTCGGGAGGGCTCCGCTCCGGTCGGCTGGGAGGGAAGGACGCGGGCTGCCCTGCCGGGCTTGCTGCAGGGCGCTCCCGTCCTCCGCGCCGCCGCCCCCTACAGGGCGGCCAGAGCGGAACAAAACAAAAAACAAAAAAAAAAGCGGCCGTGCCGCCCTAGGATTGGGCAGAATGCCACCTCGGTCAATCTGCCGCCCCAAGCACCAGCTTGCTCAGCTGGTGCTTGGAGCCGGCCCTGGTGCTGATGGCCCACAATTCCAGCCAAAATGTTTTCCCACCTTATAGGATCACTTCTTCCTCTGTGCTGCTGCCAAAACCAATGTCCAATTCCATATATTGACAAAAGAATATGTCATATCCTCCTTCCTCCTCAAACCTCCTGGTATATCTTTGTTGCCATTGTTAAGTTTTTCCTTCTAGGGATATGATAGCCAGGGCCGGCTCTAGGACTTTTGCCGCCCAAGGCAAAAACAATTTTGGCCGCCCCCCCTCCCTTTATAATTACCCCACCCCCGGCCCCGCCTCAACTCCGCCCCTTCCCTGCCTCCTCCCCCCAGGCTCTTAAGCCTAGGAGGGAGGGGGAGAAGCGGGGCCCGCGCTGCGGCCACTCGGAGTCTCCCCCTCCCTCCCAGGCTCTCAAACCTGGGAGGGAGGGGGAGATCCCAAGCGGCTGCGGCGCGCGAAACAGCTGATTCGCACGCCGCTGCTCCCCCTCCCTTCCAGGCTTGAGAGCCTGGGAGGGAGGGCGAGTAGCGGCGCGCGAGCGGCAGCAGCAGCGGAGGTGAGCTAGGGCGGCCGGGGCACATTTTTAGGGGCGGCATTCTGGCGCCGGCCATGCCGCCCCTAAAAATGTGCCGCCCCAAGCACCAGCTTGTTTTGCTGGTGCCTAGAGCCGGCCCTGATGATAGCCAGCTGCAGTATTGTTCTGACGAATCAGTATTTCCTTACATATAACCACAAATACACTGATCCCTTAGAGTGAAAGACCAAAAATGGTACTGGATTCTCCTACAAAGAAGGTTCCAGGATGAGCAGTACCTTTGACCCCTCACTCAGGCTCTCCTTGGGCACTCCTTCCAACTGCTGAGCCCGTGCCTATATTTCTCTTAGGGTGGAATCCTGCATTCATCTCACTTAGCAGGGCCGGCTTCAGGCACCAGCTTAACAAGCAGGTGCTTGGGGTGGCCAAGGGAGAGGGGCGGCACCTGCGGCAATTCGGGGGCAGCAGGTCCCTCACTCCCTCTAGGAGCGAAGGACCTGCCGCTGAACTGCCGCCGCCGATCGCGGCTTTTTTTTTTTT